TCGCTCTCCCTCTCTCTCTCTCTCTCTCTCCCTCCCCCTCTCCCCCTCTCCCCCTCTCCCTCTCCCTCGCCCCCCTCCCTATCTGTTTATCTGTCTCTTTAATGAAGAAATTGAGGTAAGCCTGAGAGAGTGACTTGTGTAGTCATAAACAGAGATGAAATATTAGAAAGCTTGTGTTCTTTTTTTACTTTAGGATGTACTGCCTCTCTGATAATTGAGAGAATAACAACGTTTTATGGCTAGGGAAATTAAACCAATAATTCATCTCCACTCTGGGTTTGTCTCTTGTCACTTGATTGTTCTTCAGTCTAGTGTGCTATGATAACTTCAAATTTGGAAGCAAATTTAGTTCATTAGTGTCATAGAGATGGACAGAAGTCACTGAAATCCAGAGATGCTATAACTGGGAAGGTGTATTTTACCCTCTAGTTTTCCCTCCATTTGTCTGTCATCATTTCTCTTTGGTCTTCCATTTAAGACTCTTAAAGTTCTTAAACCTCCAGTGAGGGGAGCCATGGATTGGAAACTGAGCGACACCTCTATGACCAAGGAGTATAGGATTAACAGAAATGAAAAGATGTGAAAACTAAAGCAGCCACACCGGGATTTAGATATAAAAGGAAACTGAAACTGAGGCTGTTTCTGTTTTAGTGTGGATTATGCTGTTATGATCTGTGCTAGGGCTAGAGTCAGGATCCTTAAATGGGATCCTGGGCTGGCAAGGATAGTGTGAGGACCAAAATAGAGGAAGATCTTGGTATTACCTTTGTGGGGGAGAAAAAAAGCAACCTGGGAGGAAGTAAAAATAAATCAATTTGGCCAACTAATGGTGTGATGCAATCATGGATCAAGCAGGGATGGACCTTCCATCCCTATAGACACAAGCAAGAGAAGCAAATAAAAAATTCAGTGATAGAGGTAGCCTTAATAAAATCCACTGGGCCAGGGAATGAGCTCAGGGGCAGCATGCCTGCCTCATAAGCACAAGATCCTGAGTTCAGTCCCTGGTTTCAGGGGACAGGGAGAGGGGAGAATAAACTCCACTAGACTTTCATAAATAAGGCAACAAATACATGTTTATAAAAAAGATCTTTTACCAATATTGTTGAATCAATACTTGTGAT